CGATCGAGTTCCTCAATGCCAATCAAATATTATCATCCGTTTATTATTCGAGTATTATTATTTCTTTATTCGGTTGTCACTTAACAATTTTTGGCAAATTATACGTTCGGCAAATTATATAATAAAGTTTAATTGATCTACGTAACTGTTGTGCTTGAAACCTGCATTTTGACTCTTAAATTGTCCTTTTCATTGTTGTTATTAATTTGAATTTCCCAGAGTACAGTTCATTATTAGATTAACTATTTTTATTACGTATTGGGAAACAACTCGAGCATGCCGTTACGACGATTTTCTTACTTCGTCTTGCTGTCGTGTGCAATTAATTGACACTACCGGACATTATTATACGATTATCGATCAGACATTATTATCATTGTCTTTTAATTAATCGGGTATTATTACTTCTTCATTTGGCTATCGTTTAATTATTTTTTATTGCACATTGGGAAGGAACTCGAACGTTTGCAAAATTTTTTTTTACCGTCTTGCTGTCGCGTGTAACTATTTGATACTAAATTATTAAATTACTAAATTAAATTAAATTTCCGTCACAAAGATCCCATAGAGCAAATACAGTCACGCGGCTCTAGGGGATGCGTGCCTGAGGGATGCTGTGCCGGAGGATCCGGCTCGGGCCTGGCAGAGTTGGTGCGAAGGTGAGTTTCACATATTTGAATTCATAATTCCAACAAATCCGATTAAACTCGAAATTCTCTTGTTTGAAATCGAGTTCCTTAATGCCTCCATTATTGTATGTAATACTAAATTAAATCTACTTTTTATTGCAGAGATGAAACAGACTACCAGCCGACTCTTAGGGGCTGCTGCGCCGGAGGATCCGGCTCGGGCCGAGCGGGGTTAGTTCGAAGGTGAGCTTCGTTAATTAGCACTTATAATTAGAAATCCGACAAGATTGATAATTCTTTTGCTTGAAATGGAGATGATTTAAATTGAATAAAAAATCGCGTAAATCGTAATTACGTGCGGGGGGAATTTTTTCTGAGTAACATCACTACTTGAAAAAATTTTGATTTGTTCTGATTAAGAGATTTATTTGCAACTTCGAGAAAAAGGAAAGTGGAATATTTCAAGTGTGATTGCATTCCGAAATATTCTTCCAGCGTGAAATATATCGCGCTTATTTTCTTTTTAATCCTTCAAACTTCTTCACTCAAATCGACATCAATGCATAGATCTAATCGGCGAAATGGCATTTTTCTGTTCTAGAAACGAAAGCAGAATGTGACTACCCTGATCGGCGGTTTGGTAAGTCAAAACAAAAAATATATTGATAATAAAAAGACAAAAAAGTTTTTCGATATAGTGCATGTTTAGCAAATCAATGCGATTTACTTTGCTGTAGTTATAGTATGTGTACGTGCTGTCTAATAAAAATTACACTGCTCGAAACAATTGGAAAATCGCTTTTTTAAATAATAATATTAGTGATAATGCATATTTTATATAAATTTGGCAAATAAATTTCCAAGTAGTTTTCTGTCAATGAACATATATTTATTAATTGATTAATTTAGATTATTAATTAATCAACGATTTTTGTCGGAGGAAATTTTAATTAATCAAATCCCAACACTGTCTGGTAGACGCTTGAAATATTGAATATACGCTCTGAATATTCAAAATTTTGTAAAGTTATTCAATTTTATTGAATAATTTATTTATTTATGCAATCTTTTAAGTGTCTCGAGCAGTGTGCCAACGCGCAAAGAAATTGCGCCACAGAGATTGCGCTACAGAAGTGCGCAATCACATCACGCGCGTCATAGATATTCCGCCGGTCGTTAATTTTGTCAATTTTCTCTTTCGCGTGAGCTTGAATCGCGATTGTATTTTATAGAGTTCGTGCTTCGTTATTAAGTAAAATTCGATATCGTGCGGCAGCTGCGCGAAGCGATCTAACGTGATTATATAAACTGCTAGCAAAATTAATTTTATCGGAAAATTTTTAGGTTTTAATTTTTCAGAGTTTCTTAACGCAGTACACAATAGAGACAATGCTAGCGAGCGTTGATCCCTCGCGAAAAACGCGATGTACACAAGTCAGACATGCGAGCAGTTATTTACTTACGCGGCACGCGACATGTTCCATCGAACGAAAACAGATTTCTCACGCGGTAACATTTTTTTCGCGTAACTTTTGAATAGAATCTTTATCTCACAATTTTCTTATCTTTATCGTCACAATTTTTATAGTTTTTGATTCACGCTCGCGTTCGCAATTATTAATTAGATAGGTTTGCGAATTTCATCAGTTCGTATTTGTGAAGAGTCGCGAGCGAACTTCGCAGAAATATTGCAAAGTATTTATCTGCAAGAAGCATTGCGGAATTGTCTTCGTAAAAGTATTGCGGAGCTATTATCCGCAAAAATCTTGCGGAATTGTCTTCGCAAATGTATTGCGGAGCTATTATCCGCAAAAATATTGCGGAATTGTCTTCGCAAAAGTATTGCGAACCTGTTATCCGCAAAAATATTGCGGAGCTGTATTGCAGTCTACTACGCTGCTCCATCGAAACGTTACATTAGGGATATTTCGTGTCATACGTGAAAATCTCACACAGATTATTTCGCCCAAAAGATTTCGCGTCAAAAGATTTCGCGAGATCGGCCTTCGATTCGCGTCGCGTGTTCTCTTCGCTCGCGGATTCCGTTTCCTTCGTAAGCATATCGCATCGCGCGTGTATCAAAGCGATACATTACAACTCGATCAGACCGTTGCTGAATTCGTCGCACATACTATCGTTTATCCGAAAGGCCGACATTTCCTTGAAGACGCAGTTCGCGATATTTCATACGTAATTTGCAACTCTGAGTGTATCCCCCAAAAGAGACGGGATTTTTCGTGAAACCTCCGTTAGATTACCGCGTTCGGGAGTGAATTACAGGCGACGTGGGATACGAGGATCGTTGCAGTGTCAGATGCAGTGACAGGATGGCTGATGGACCCTGGACACCGTGGGACGACGCGCAATGGTGAGCGCTCAGTTCAGACGCTCATATAGTAGACAAAGCGTCACTTTACGTAGATTGCATGCACGTAGACGTAAATCGCATTGAGTTCGACGGGAAGTAAAGTAAGAATTGGAATTTGCAATTCGCCGGAGTTACGTAAGAATGATCTAACCAAAGAATTTAGCTGTGAAATTTTCGCAATAGTTTAACGAGTCAAGCATTTCCATTTCTTTAAGAGTACTGATTAGCTCAATCCTTAGAAAAATGTGCAAAAGACGAGATTGATAAAAAATAAAGAAACTGTTTCTTAATTCATTTCAAGCATCTATAAGGCTTGAATTTTTTTGGTTGGTTTAAAAAGATGTGAATGGATTATCCGTTGATAAAAGCTAGTTTTTTAATTGGATCATTCTTGCATAACAATGGCCAGTTGAAATTTTGACTCGGCAAGCTTCCTTCTCGTCGGATTGTTCCTTGATGATTAAATTGATATATATATTTCAACATATTATATTTATATGCTCTCTATATGTTATATATGCTTTTTTATGCTCTATGTATGTTTTATATATATCCTATGTCAGTTCTATATATATTATTTGATTAATATGCTTTATAACTTGTTATGTCGTATTATATACGACATACTATCTCTTCGGAGATATTTTCTTATGCGTACGCGTTTGTTGTTGACAAGATTACAAAATAAATTTCGACTAAATAAAGATAACAAATTAAATTATTAAGCCGAGATTTGAACCGAAATGTTTCGATTTTTCGCTAAAATAGTTAAACCAAGATTCGGACCCGAATGTTTTGAGATTCCGCTAAACTATTAAGCCGAGATTCGAACCGATATGTTTTGCGAAGACGAGACTGATGAGAGATGATCTAACTTTGCGATAAATTCGCCGCTCATTAGTGGTGAAATAAGAACAGAGCGATTGGACGTTTGTCTTTTTTTAATTTACTATCATTGTACGGAAGTACAACGGACACGAGCCAGGTGCATTTTATCGTTACCACCGCGAAAATGCGCCTAACGAACGTAGTAAAGGCGAATTTTGTTAGATGGCGTCTCGAAAATGCGCCTAGCTCTTGCTACTAAAATCAAGTTGGTAACCGCTCTTAGGCTTCTCTCTAACTAAAGTTATCTAGCCGAGACTCGAACCTTTTTTAACCGGCTTTCGGAATCTTTTAGCCGAGATTCGAACCTTTTTAACCGGTCTCTGAAATCTTTTAGCCGAGATTCGAATCATTTTTTACCGACCTCCAGAATCTTTTAGCCAAGACTCGAATCTTTTTTTACCAACTTCCAGTACTTTCTAGTTAAAACTTAAACCTCATTTACAACAAACAGTTTACTCATCAAGACATTGTTAGATGGCGTTAGAGAATCCATTAGCCAATTTTGGATCGGATTTAGCGAGTCGAGCTGATATTCCAAAGTTTAATCGCGAAGTCTCCGCCACAAGCCTCCGCTATTTTAATGAGAAATCAAATACGCAGTATGATTCAAAAACTGGCTAGACTTCTTTATTTTAAAATCGCACGGTATAAGTACCGGTTAGCCGTCCTTTTATTTTGAAATTTTACAACTCAAATTTCAACGGACTGTAACTTTTGCGAAAGTGATAATAGAGAGATGATTTAAAAAGTATTTTTTAGTCTGAAAACTTTACTTTTCAAATATTTAATGTTTACAATGTTGTTGTGGCTTTTTGCCAGAGTGTATCGAGTTGAGTGAAAAATCGTCCAATTTTCAATTGCAATTTTTATTTTCCTGCAGCGATCTAAATAATCTTTTTCAAGTGTCTATCAAATATCTATTTATTTAATGATAGCAACCTTTGACTTTGAGAGACTGACAGCTGTACCATTTGGTACAGTAACATTGTTTCCCATCAAGTGTGTATTTATTTAATGAATGAATGAATTTATTTAATGAAAATCCTTCAGAGGATCAGTCATATTATAAAAGTCTTAAGTAACGTAGCCTGCAAAGGATAGACAACAAAACACAATCTTCTTCTATTATTTATTGGAAACCTTGATACACTCGAGCTTAGTCATAAATATCATGCGTCATGTTACAACACTATATTTACACATAATTAATCGAGCAACTGTGAATTCGGACACTTGGCTTGTCACTCAAGAGGGACGGAAGGGAAAGGCACGGGGGGTCGGGATCGATGTAAAGACGAAGTTGCTTTGATATTAAATTATATGAACATGTATGTGTACGTGTATGTGTTTGTATGTGTGTGTGTGTGTGTGTGTGTGTGTGTGTGTGTGTGTGTGTGTGTGTGTTTGCAGGGGAACAACCAGGAGGGGAAATTAATATTTCACAATGGTGGCGAAAGATCGCGCGCGAGGTCGGCGAGATCTCGAATAAATATTACGACGAGTACAAACTGAGCTACGACTCTTTGGCTCGCCCCACTCATATACACAGGGTGGTCTCGTAAAATATTATTTAATCCTCGCTGGCCGTACGCGCCCGATGCGGTGATCTCGTGTGATTCTCTTGTCACTCTTCTGTTTTTTTTTCCTCTCCTTGGATTAGGGCTCGTTATTTCGACGCTACATATATCATATGTTATATATATATGTATAAGTATAAACCTATGTATATCCGTTTGTGTTATATAATGATATTCGATTAAACCTTAACACATCATTCGCGCGAACATTCAGGAACGGTGACGCGGGCCGTTAATTCACCGGACGATGTAATTTTCATTCTTCCTCACTAAGATCGCTAAATAAATTTTCGATCGCGAGCCTGAAGGGACTTCGGTCTCATTGGATTTCGGGCAAGTTCATTGCGAATATGATCACTCAAGAGAAGAGAATCTGTCTCATAGATTCCTTTGGGATTTCGTGCGTTCGCGAATCGCAAACCTTGATCTGAGAGTTTCGCTCGTTCTGCCCAACCCTAACTGACAAATTAGCCATGTCTTTATCCCGATTGCATCAAGTATTGTCGGACAATCAGACCGTTGACGCGCGAGATACGCAATTTTACTTCCACGTTCCTGAACGTGGCGAGTAATGTCGTAGAGAGATACAGATATAAGTATTGAATCTCGTCAGCGGCGATTAAGCGCCCTCCCTGACGTTTACGCTCGTTTTGATCCCCGGATGTGCCGTTTGCGAGACCGAAATAAGCGATATCAGAGAAAGGAGGAGAAAGAGGAGTACCGCGTCGACCGCGCGTCAGCGCATAGTCGTCGGTAAGCGAGTCGCCAGAGACACTCTTCAATTCGATGAACTTCAATCGCAAAGAGTGTCGCGATCTTTTGCACCGCTCATTATACACACACGCGCACACGCGCGCACACACACACACACACACACACACACACACACACACACAGTGTCGCGAACGAATGGTCGACGCGACGAAAAACTCGGCTTTCGCGGGCTTATTTCGCCGGTCGCGCAATCGGCAGCGAGATCGTGGCAATATCGGCGATTTCTACCTCTACCTATCGATGAGCGATAAGTCGCTACGAAGAAGACGCACCCGTCGTAACATGCACCCATCGTTATTAACGAATGGCTGTGTCGATCGACGTTCCAGCGAGTTGGAGAAGCGAGAAAGAGTGTATATAGCAGAGCGAATATCATTTATAATATAAAAAAGCATTGGCGCGCGCGGGACGAGATGAGAGAGAGAGAGGGGGAATCCGCTTATTGCATTATCCGCGCGAGCCAGAATTACCATCCTAAGTCGGAACGTATTAAGGCACCTTGCATATTATTCGCGTGAATCGCGGCCGTCGATCCCGACGGTAATTATCTTGTTGCGCGAAGTCACGTGCAAAATTCGTCGCGTCTTTATCAGCCACTGATATGACGGCCTGACAACAGTCGGGAGAATCTCCTTCTGTCTTAACGACGCAACGTTCCCGTGTGTTATCCGCGGAGTTGGTCATCCGTGGAAAAGAGAGAAGGTTGCGAAGAGGATGGCGGAAAGAGAAAGAGATGGGTTAGAGGGAGAGAGATAGCTGGAGGAAGAAAGAAAGAAAGAGAGAGACGAGGCTTTCGCAACCTAATTAATCCGACCCTTGTGCGTCATGTAACTTATGCTGTCCGACAGCAACTTTTCGCGCGCCTGCCGCCGCATTCGCGAACACATGGCCAGTATCGTGCCGGCCATGATGCAGAAGAAGCCGCAGCCAAGGCCCACTATCGTACTGGCGACGGATGATCTCAAGCACACTCGGTCGGTCGTGGGTTCGCTGAGTCCTAGAAGGACAAAGAAAAATTACAAACATACATTCGGAAGAATTTTACACTGAGTGAAAATAGAGAAACTTACTTGCACGATATAAAGCTCATAAATAAACTTAATTTCGCAGAAATGAACTTTACATACTATAAGTAAATTTTCGTTTATTTTATCTCGGTGTAATATAAAGAATTGTTTTTTTCGACAAAGAAAAATAGATATATATTTTTTTTTTAACTTTTCACAACTGTTTATTCTATTTAAATAAAATAATTTAGATTTGAGTAACTATATTATTAGTGCTCACCGAATAGATATTTTTTATTTGTAGATATTTTCTCTCGGTGTGATAATATGCATTTCATTGTATAAAAATATCAAAGATGGTTGCTACTGATTGTTAGTTACTGTTGTTTGCCAAAATGACAGGAATATTTGGTTGCTTTTCTTTGATTCTTTTATTTGCTTTCGAACGAATGAAACTTTTAGATTTATTCTTTATTTTGTTTTCTTGAATTGTACCGACGTGCAATTGCACGCAAACGCCGAGATGGGGGGGATTCTGTATTCGCGAGCTTGCGATTTATTTCGTGCTGGGCCACGCTGTTAGAGCGCGACGCTCGCGATCGGCGAAAAGTGGAGCGCGCTGCTCGAAGCTGCGATAAATGTACGGCTTGACATAATTGTTCTAACAGTAAAGCCAGAATCTTTGACATAAATATCCGCTCTTACCGGCGCGCGAGGCGCTGGTGGAATTCTGGAACAGTTCCGTGTCCGCCTCGCCTTCCTGAAGAACGCGCAGAGACTGGAAGAGATTCACGTTCTCCGACAAACTGGTTGCCGGCGTCGACGGTCCGCCGATCATTTCCGGCACCGATCGCTTCGCCACGTTCTTCGCGTTTCTCCAGTGGCAGGGTTGGCTCTGAAATACGGGCGATGCGTGTTCGTGTGACCGAGTGCTATCGAGTACGAAACTGGAACGTCGTGTTTCAGCGCTCACGGGGAACAAATGCGCGACAATACGCAAAAGTATCACCCTAAAAATCGGATCTACCGCTATCCCGATTGTATAGAAAAGTTTTTTGAGAAGTTGACCGACTTCACCGCAAAAATCGGAAGAGTACATTCGCGACGGCGAAGTGTTGTACAAGATATCCCATTTCCGGTTTATTCTTTTGCAACAATAGAATTCTTCTCGCAAGAAGAAGAATGGAATGACTCTTTCCGTCGACATTTTCGCTAAGGAAAGGTTGTCTTTGAATTGAGAAAATCTGCCATTACAAAATAATGCAGTGGAAAAGAGATACCCTGTATAACCCTGTAGACGCCATGAAGCACTTCGTACGCACGTGTGTCCAATTAAGCCGAATCAGCGCGGTACTTTAATGGATTAAGGCAAGCAAGCGTATTGAAATCGATCGGGTGAGACTTCGGGTGTTAAAGTAGACAGTGTTTCGTTACCGGACATCTTCCGTGGCACATGCGAACGTCGCACTCGATGTACAGAGCCGGCGAACCCGTGAACCTGAAGGTTTTCATGTAGGCGAACACCTGCGTCTCGAAGAGGCCGCTCTCCGACCAGGAGCCGCGAAACCGGCTGATCAGTTTGTCGTCGACCGGACATCCATATTGATCGATCAGCTGGATCCTCTTGTTGCCGCCGTTGTGCGCGTAGCAGTCGTTCACGACGATGTCGAAGCCGTCTGCAACGTAGAAGCAGAAGAGGCGGAAATCAGGCTGTCGGACACGTCGTGTCGACGGTAATAAGCGCGTACTTCGCGCGTTTTCGCGGGTGAGATTTATCGCAACGGGGTGAGAAGCGACGAAACGTTATTAATAATGAGGCCGATTAATCAAGTACGGCGAGCCAACAAATGAGCGAGCGAGCGAGCGAATGAGCAAACGGTGAGAAATGTTTAGCTACCCCCTTCTCTCTATACGTCTCTCTCTCTCCCTTTCTCTCTCTCTTTGTTTCTCTCTGTGTCTCTCTTTTTATCTTTCTCTCTCTTTCTTTTCCCTTCTTTCTCTTTCTCTTTCTCTCTGCATCTATTTGTATCTCTGCACGACACAATCGACGTGGACGCAAATACAGAAGGCAGTTAGACGCTCATTAGAGCGCAGACACAACTGTCGAAGCGCTCACGTTTTCGTAGTTTCTCCCGCTCCCCCCCGCACTTTTCACGTATCTTTCTTTGTCCAACGTGTTTCCGCATCTTTCGTAAATTACCGAGCTCGACTTGTAACCAACTGACAAAGTCTTCTGCCTCATCTTATACCGTTACGCGACGTCGAATGATATGTTGGCGGAATCGGGCGTCGTATGATTAGATAGACCGGGCGGCCGGCAAGAAGAAGAGGGAAGATACGCAAAACGAAGGATGCGTGTTGCGAGTGATTTGCACGCGATCGCGGCTCCGTCTCTCGATATTACGGACTATTTGTTTTTGATGCGAACGCTTGTGCCAGCATGACACATCATCTTTACGATGATGAAATCGGTGAAATATGGCGATGAAAACGTGACGTCGTGATTCAATTCTCAGAAAACGGGACGATGAATTTCGCGAGATTCTCCTTGGCAAGCTTCGTGGGCAAAGATGAAGAGTAAGGGAGGGAAATGATTCCACAGAAAACAAGTTAAATTGACAATTGGAACCTGTGGCTGATGAGAACTGCCGCGATTTTTTGAGCGACGCGTCGGGATGAATAAAACAATAATCGTTTTATTTTCGGTGATATGGCCGTAAAAAATAAAATCACACCTTCGCGTGATTAACTTCAAGATCAATTAAACTCTCGAGACGAGACGAAGAAAGAAGGGAAGAAATTTCCGACTCTTTGGAAAATCAGTTAAATTGACAGTTGTACACCTGCCAATGAGAGCCACTGCGGTTTTTCCAACGACGTGACAAGTTTTTCTTTTAATTTCTCACGATATATCTGAATAAAAGTGGAAATTAATCCGCACGGATGCGCGGATTAACTTCGATTAAACCCGAGACAAGCTAATGAACAAGTCGACCGACTTGCCACTCGCTCGACATCTCTCGCGTTTCGTCTCCTTTTGGAAAACGGGTTCGCGCGCGTCGGCGCCTACTTATGTTAATAGATCGCGCGCGGGCCCCATTGAGGGCCCCGAGAGCGCACGTTCCTCCTTCCTTCCTTGGGCGATTTGCGTGAAGCCGAGCCGCGGTCACGCTTCGCGTTCGCGTGGAAGCTTACCGTATTTGCTGCGCATGTAGATAATGAGAGTCAGAGGATCGCCGACGCGAACTGGTCCGGCCACTCTAGTTCCAGTGGTCCCGTAACCGTATCTGATTTCCATGTAGCACTCCGGAGGCTGTAGGGTGAAGACTACGGGATTTCCCGTGGCGACCCTGGAAGAAGAAGAAGGTGGGTGCGTAAGAGGCAGGAAGAATGCGTATCCGTTATCTCGCGCGCGAGAGCAGCACGGCCTACTTCGCGCCCGTCCGATGGCGCGCAGATGTTAGACATTATCGTGGATATTACATAAACGGCGGCCTGGCGCGAAACGTTCCATCGATTTCGCGTAATCGGAGGTTTTACACGCGATCATAATGTCATTCTTCGTGTGCTCGCGCGAGTGGAAACGATTACGCGCGCGGCGCGAACGACGACTCTCCGCAGAGAGGCTGCGCGTACCTGACCTTCCCTACGATCCCCTCGCGAACGAAGCTCGTCGTCGGCGCTTTTTGCCGCCGCTTCTTCCCCCCGAGAGCACACACACCCGCCGATCGATCGATAATTTATTTCGAGCTGGTCGATTTGTTTTCCCGCCGAGCGCATCTCACGCCGTCGAGCGTGGCGCGTTCTACCCGCTGAAATATAATCCTCGCGGAGAGCGACATGCACGATCCGGTAGAACTGATATTTACGCGCCCTTAATCCTCCTTAACCGGGTACACCCTCGTGTCAGTCGAATCGATGGATCAGTTGATTTTATGGCGAGAGAACGGCACTTGAACTTTCACCGGCAAACTTTCGAGAAAGTATAAGATTCGTGAAATATCCATCCTCACGAGGAATTAGAACCGTTGAAAAAAGAAAAAAACTTGGAAACTAATTCTGCAATTCTAGACAAAATCGTAAAACTCGTAACTTATTCTCGTAAGACTCGTAAGAACTTATAAGTAGATCTGCAATTCTATGCGGACCGTGTGTCATATGATAACTCGTAAATATCTACGATTTTTTTTTTTTTCGTAAGCTACTATTTAAAAATTTACTCGTATATTTGCTTAGAATTGCAGCATAACATTGTGTAAACTTTGACGATATGCACGGAAAAATGCATACTGCATTTGTGCAAATGTTACTTATTTCAAATGCTTCGTAAACAAAAGCTTATATATCCACAAATCTATCGTAAGTTCGTCACAAGTACCAAATTTGCTCAAAATACATTCTGAATGTTAATAAATTTACTCTCTTAAAGTGAATCAGTGAAACATCATTGGAAGCAGTAAATATGCACTGATTTGCAGCTATAAGTACAGCACTGAAACTGCTCAGTGCTATACTTATAACTGATATCAATGCCTGTTCATCGATTCATTTTAAGAGAGTAGCATTTCAAGAAGAATATCAAGTCAAAGCAAAAATTGCTCACTACGTAGAGCCGAGCCGTCTCCAGCATCCCCTTAGGGGTACTTCTCGAATTCAATCGCGATAATGGCGGTAAGAGAAGTGAACGATTGAAGCGAAGGGGGGTACTCACTCGACGTCGAGAAAGGGAAACGTCACCGTCTTCCAAAAGTCGTAGCCGTACTCGCACGTCACCTTGAAGTGCTCGTCGAACTCCTCCTCGATCAGCGGATTGTACTGCACCGTGACCGTGTTCCACATGAGGTTCTTCTGCAAAAGCGCGAACATACATTGCACAATGTAATAATGTGCACGTTATTTCTCACGTGAGGCAAACCGGCCGCGCGCTTTATTTCGCGCCGCTATTATAATAGCGGGCTCTCCTCTGCATTCCTGTGCGGAATTCTGAATGCCACCCACCCACCTACCCAACGTGTGCGCGACACATCTAATTTTCTCCGACTATCGAGATTAAAAGCAAACTATCCCTTGCTACCTTCACACGCCCGCCAGTCTTGTTCTCAAAGACTGGATCGTTCTTGCCCGAGTTGTTAACCTTCCGTTAGTCGCGTGTCCGTTTAGAACACGGATGATCGCGCTGCACCTCAGAGGTGACATCCGTTTATTTGACAGAAAACCTACATCTCAAGTATAATGTTCTTGTCTGCTATTTTTGGAATACGTGGAGACAAAATGAAACAATTAAAATTTTATTATTTACGAGAAAAAGGCACGTTAGATGAAAACATGAATAATCGTGGATACCTCTTAGATAATTTCTTAAGGTTATACATTTTTTGAGGTTATGCATTAAAGATACAAAAAATAAAAGTCTGGTTTATCAGCTCTTTCAAATAAAAAACCCAAACGTTCTTGATGTAAAAATTAGCGAAAGTTGCAGCATTAGAAACACTTGCACCAATTGTTGCAGTGCATTTGTCAGATGTTTTTTGTCTCCTACGGCACTAAAGCCTGATCTACAATATGCTCTTTGCGTTCTGTTTCTTGTCTTCTATCTTTTTCTGGCTTAAAGCTTAAGATTTGAGTCAGAAAGAGATAAAGAGAAAGAAGCAGGAAGCAAAGAGCATATTGTAGATCAGGCTATATCCGCTTCATCCGCTTCAAATTTTAAGCTTTAAACCAGAAAAAGATAAAAGACAAGAAATAGAATGCAAAGAACATATTGTAAATCAGGCTTTAAGCTTGATCTACAATGTGTTCTTTGCTTCCTGTTTCTTGTTTTCTATCTTTTTTTAGTTTAAGGTTTAAGGTTTGAGTCAGAAAGAGATAAAGAAAAAGTAACAGGAAGCAAATAACACATTATAGATCAAGCCTAAAGCCTGATCTGTAATATGCTCTTTGCTTTCTGCTTCTTTCTCTTTATCTCTTTCTGACTCAAATCTTAAAGCTTGATCTACAATGTGTTATTTGCCTCTTGTTTCTTTTTCTTTATTTCTTTCTGATTCACACCTTAAGCCTTCAACTAAAAAATGACAGAGAACAAGAAACAGGAAGCAAAGAGCACATTGTAGATTAGGCTTAAGCTTTAGCCAAAAAAAACAGAAGACAAGAAACAGAACGCAAAGAGCATATTGTAGATCAAGCTTGATGTTGATACTGCGGAAGGCACGCGTACATTGTTCTACAAAGATGCGAGAAATAGGAGCATAGAAGTGCGTATCTCTCTAAAATCTATTATATTCCGTCCAAAAACAACTCAAGCAGCACCTCACAGGCTCCATTAACGGAAGATTAATCATTGTGATTCGTAGATGCCACGTCAAGTCGCGATTCGCGCACGTTCTCACGTCTCACTTGTTTTGTCTTATTTCTTACGTTTCTTTCTACATACCGTCGGATTCTTCCTACTGTCCTGGTGATGGGTATTCTCGCCGAGGGTGCCGCATCGATTCAGCTGAATGTAGAACTCGTAGTAGTCGCGGCCCGTCCCGTTCACGTACATGCAGTCAGGATCGTACGAATAGCCTGCAATTAAAAGCGATTGTCCTTGATCGCGCGGCGATACTCTCGGTCGACGGCGATGGAATCGCTCCTTGTCCCTTCGCAGATTCGCTGATCCGTATCGCGGGATATCGATCGGCCGCGTTGATTTCCCTCGTGAACGAACACGCGAACGGACGGCGGAGCGTAAATGAGAAAATGCGACTCGTGCGCTCGTTAGCGCCAATGACAGGAAGTCCGGGATCGGCTTGGATGGACTTTTTAATCGTCCCGCGAGATTTATGGGCTCGTCGAGTGTACTTGTGAACGATCGCATTCATGAACGAGCGGAAAAGCATCCCCGTTACAAAAAAGTATGTCCCGCTCGTTATTTAGATATTAATTAAGGATTTGCTGTCGGGCCAGCTGGGGGAAGGCCACACGCTTTGAATTTTATTTTATCAAATTACTAAATTGTAAGAATGATTTCAATAATAACGCGAGGTGCTTTATAGAACATTTCAACATTTAAATGGAAGTAACTTTTTTTTATGTAGAGTTTTCTCTTCTTATATAATTTTTTCTTCTATAAGTTATATAAAATACTTGTATAAGTTATATAAAGAGAGCTTAAAAAAATAATAACCTTTTCTTATGGAAGTAACTTTTTCTCCAATTATTAACATCTTTTTTTGAGTAAATTCTCCGTATAAGTGTTAACATTTTTTAAGCATTCTGTATAGGACGTAAAGTGTCCCATAAGTCGCGCACGATCATCCGCCAATCTTTAATGATCAAATCAAAATGTTACGTGGTTGTTTGCAGAATGGTAGAGGACTTTTGTTTTTAGTTTGATTCAAACCTACACACGTGTATACAAAGTGTGGGACACTGCGTCAGGAGCACAATAATACCTTTCTTATAAATAGTAATATTTCTCTTATAAATAGTTATATCTCTTTATATAGAAATTACCTCTTTATAATAGAAATTTAATTAAATATAAATCTCTCTTATTAACGGGATTTATGCAAGGATTTATATAAGAATTTAATACAATAGATACAACCACTACCGGATCCTGACCTCGGTCATGGGGGGGTTTTCGGCAAAATTTCTTTATTTTTTACATTTTTTAAACGGATCTAAAAAAATTGATTTTTTTAAATTTAAATTTAATTTCCAAGAGGGGGGGGGGGTTTAACGCCAAATCTCCCCCCTAGAATCCGCCAGTGGATACAACTGTTATTTATCAACGGGCGTTATGTAAAGATGAAAAATTAATACAGTAGACAGTTTTTTTTTTAATTAAATAGAAATAGAAATTTAATTAAATAGAAATATTTCTCTTATTAATGGGATTTATGCGAGGATAATAAATTAATACAATAGATACAACTGTTATGTATCAACGGGCGTTATGTAAAGATGATAAATTAATACTAAATTAAATAATGAATAAATTAATGAAAAATTAGTAGACAGTATTTTTTTTTAGTAAAATGCGATGTAGAAAAAAGATAATAATTTTGAGTGAAGGAACGTTGAGGTTCGAGGAAACACTCCTTTCTCTTCTTGCTCCTCGGACGAAACGCTTCGCGAAGAAATCACTTAGCCGACGACGCGGTTTTTGTCGGCGCATCGCGTGCGTTACCAGAGGAGGAGGCGGCACGGCGCGCTTCTTTCGAAATAACGGAAGTATCTTACACTAGAACGGACAGATGGACTTACGACGTCGGCGGAAAAATTCCGGCGCGGCCGGCGAGGTGGACGACCGATCGCTTTACGATAATTTCCGCCATTACCTCGTTAGCGCGGACGTACACTCGTCGTTTCACTGTCTGCCGCGGTAATTGCGGATGCCAGCGAGATGCAGTCGGTTATGCAGCCACATATTTCATTCCGCGGCATTATGTCGAATCTGTTCGCCGTGATAAAGTGACCCAGGCTTTCTCAAGCCTCCTTTCTCGATAGCACGCTATTTGCGACTTGCGTTCATTCATCTCGCAACACTTACGCAACACTCTCGCATGCTAATGCCTTAAAATCTTATCTTGAAAAATAACGCGCGCGTCTAATACAGTGAGAAAATATAATTTTACGATGCGAGGGTAGAGTTTCAAGGTAATTTAGGATAGCTTCAGAATAACTTTTCGACTACTCGGTCGCACATTCGATCTTACCTGCCGAGTACAAGAGGCCCGTAAAAGATCCGTTGAATCCAATTCTGATTTTCATGTAGTCATCTTGGCACTCTGCCTCGATATCTAGAAAATATAACAATGTAAAAAATATAATAATTATACACAAATTACGTGATTGTACGAAAAATACCAGTTATGAAGAAACATATAGGAAAGACGAAGGCTATATGGCTCCACACGGAGAAAAATAATTTTGCTCTTTTAGCAAAATCGTCGTTGCTGCATATTCACAGTGACATCAAAAAATTTAGTTAACGTAATTAATTTTACAAATTATTTGTTATCAGAACAGAAGTAGTTTCGTTGACAGGATAGAAAAAATTTGTTGAGTGTATTTGTCCTAAGAATCATGTTAATTTGCTATTGATGCAAAATAATGTATCCTTAGCAAATTTATTTGCTATTGGAGCAAAACTGCTTATATAAATCCATCGTGGTTCTTGTAGCAAAATAATCTGTAGATTCAGCAAATTATATCCAGCAAATAGTGATTAATACTCTTAGCAAATCTTTTTGCTGTCCATATGATAACGAAAAGATTTTGCTAGACCAGCAAAAAATTTGCTGGGCTAGCAAATTATTTTTCTCCGTGTGTATTTTTCTTTTTATCTTGAGAAGAATAATGAGTATAAAATTGCGACATAGTTCTTTTAGTACATAAAAGCTTTTTCCTGAGTTTCATTAAAATCGGAATAATATTACAGTTAAGAAATAAGAAAAAGGGGATTTTTTGCGCTCATGCATACGTAATTTCGCGATTTCTCTCGGTTCGGCGAGCTTTACCGCAAATCTCTCGGCGCGTCGCTCTGTTCAGCAGCGTTTCGACAAGCTATCGGCCGGGTTATCTGCGGGGGACCTACATCAGCCACATTGTTGATCCATCTGCGCGATCAACTCTCCGCGCCCGCGTCTTGTGTTTCGCATATTTGCGAAACCGAGAAGGTCTAGGTGGAGTCCGCGATGTCGAAAGGCAGATGGAAAAGCCGGGGTATCCGGATATACCAACTGGCGGAAAACCGATGTCCTAATCTACCGGTACCGATCTACACCCGCACCCGCAGAATCGACTCGCGAGTGCCAGACGTAACAACGGTGAGAGAAAAAATAATACGAAATGTTACAATTGCACGCGTCGAGTGTGATCGATTAACCAATTGTTTTTCAACGTGATTATGCCAAATGCGCTTTTAACGATTGTCATCGGCGAGCAAAGAGTTATATTAATATAATAGTCGTTACTTGCTCGTATGATTCAAATAAAAAAATCAAATCTAGCTTTAAATCCAAGTCTGAATGTTTTACGTGTGTCAAGTTGTGATTATTCATACGGACCTTGTACCTGTATTAATAGTTATTGTTTGAAGTTCGTCTCAAGTGAGATATTTAGATTTGTAGTCAGAGTTAGATGAGAAATGTCACATATATCATGACTGAAGTGGAAAACTTCGACCTAACTCCGAGTAAGAATCCAAGTGATTCGCGTGAGACTTGTTTCGTAACAACTATTAACTCTTAAGGTACTGTGAGCGTGTATACATTTGGTCCGTGGAAACCATCGCAATGGTGGCGGACTGCAGACATATACATCTGTTCAGAATAGGAGCGATCAGATGAGCATCGTTCAGCTCTGCGCTGCTCTGTACTCTGAGGCTTAACACGTGCCTGAGTTTCGCAGGCAATCTCACTTATTCCCCCTCGATCGTAAAGAAAAAGGGAGGAAGGGAACAAGTTCTTGAACAAGAGGCCGATCTTGGGAAAGCGCGAGCGATAACGTTTTACCGTATCTGGCACGGTGATTGCCGTGCCTTGGAAACGACGTCGGATGCATCGGTACGCCGCGCCGATCGATCGATCGATCGATGGATGGATGGGTCGGTCGGTCGGTCGGTCGTCGTGTGGGCGTGCAATCGCGGCCGCGAGATCCTGTCGTCACACTCACGTGTCGAAAGCGACGCGGAAAATCGCAGATTCGCGGATAGGAGCGCGAGTGGAAAACCGGTCGTCGATGACGAATGAAAGTGAAAGTAAGTTGGGGGTCCCGTATAGGCGCTCTTCGTAGTAAGAAGAAGCCGTTTCCACAACGTAACAACGTAACACGCCGCGGCCGCAAAGCGGAATGGAGTTTGATGGTGGATGAAGATAGTCACACTTGAGGTGTCCGCCGATGATACAACCTTTTCGTTTCCGTGACCCGCGCGTTGTTGTTGGAACGCGCGACGCGTCCTCCGACACTGGCTCGGCTCCGACGTGGAGTCGATCTCTTCAATTCTATCTCGACGAAAGAGACAGTGAATCGAAATTCTAGCAATTACGCGGTCATTGATCGAAACTTATGACATGTAAAAAAAAATTGCATTTCAACGTTCTTCGTTGTTTATTTCTTGTTTCTCGGTGGAAGTCGGTGGAATGGGGGTGAAGTCGATCCGAGTAGTAAACGAGACGGAGCCGAGATGTAAGTCGAGGCGAGGGAGAGAGACGCGCGCGCACGAAAACTGGGATCTGCGAGAAAATAATAAAGTGGAGATGTAGATGGGGGGATAGAGATAGTCACACCGGAGGCGCATGCCGATGATACAACCGTTCCGTTTCACCCTCGTCCTACAGCTTGCGCCGTCGCGCTCGCGCGTGTCCGGCGCGAATGTGTGCTGAGCGCATTTTCGAGACGGCGCAGCGCATACGTACGTACACACGTGCGTATATACGCACGCTTATTAGAATTGCGGATACGTGCTTTGTGTTCATCGTCCGGCAAAACGTCAGTGGGCAGACAATGGAAAGAGTTGAGCAACGCCGATATTTGCTCGAACGTGCCGAGAGCGCCGGTCAACAGAGAGAGAGAGAGAGAGAGAGAGAGAGAGAGAGAGAGAGGGAGAGAGAGCATCGGCGAGTTCCTTTCGAGATCCACGTTTACAACTCGCGCCATAAAGAGCCATGTGATTTTTTCAAACCATTCAAGTACACGCACGCGCGCGCATACACACATAGACGAAATATCCCGGCATCAATACATGTTCTCTCAAGTACACGCAGAAAATATCATAGTGGAGATTAGTATACAAATTTTTGCTCTCGTGATAAGCTAAGGTTTTGAGGTTTAATAAGAAAATTGATTTCTAAAAAATATTTTTGCGGAGTTAATAAAAAAATATAAATATTTTTGAAAATATTTATGAGAAATAAATAAAGAAATTAATAACAAAAGTATAAGATATTTTTCAAATAAGGAATTATACATTTTCCCTAAGCTTTTTCAAAAAATCTTTGAGAAAATTTAGAGAAAATGTATATTTTTTTATTTGTGGGAAATATTTTATATTGATACAAATAAATAAGTATCTACCAAATAAATATTTTTCCTTAAATATTTGTACTCTCATTGTATATATTTGTTGAAAAATACGCACGAGAATGATAGAGAGGAAAGGAGGCAGAGAGAAAGAGAGGAGCCGCAAGAGCGGCAGCGAGAAATAGACTTCGAGTCTCGAGGACGCGCCGAGAATCGAGCGTTGCCGAGGAGGATACATTAAACCTAATGGGCCCTCTTTCGCGTAATTGACGATACCGCGGGTGGCCGCGAGTTCCCGCGGAGAGCGAGCGGCTCGATTTTACGACTTCATTGAACCGGCCAGCTCCATACGCCGTCGTGCAACATTCATCATTGCCGATGGAACGAGCTCTCGTCCGAATGTTTTAGGAAATTTACCGTAGCGACGCGATCATCGATCGTCCCGTCGACTCGGTGGCCACGGATCGATCCATCTTTTCGAAAAGCGGCGCGATCGTTCCGCGGTCTCGATTTTTTCGCGCGGCAACACGCCCGCCGAACGATTTATCAGAGCAAAGTACGGAGCGCCGTGGAGATTTATGTTAATCGCTCGCGCGTTTCGATTCTTTCCCCGGTATCTGAATAACAAAAGCATCGTAAAAGCCGCGCGTTAAGGATAACAGCGAACACCCACGTGACACGCGCTGCACCATGTTCGCACGATATAATGCGCAGGCGAGTTCGAAATTACAGTTTTATGGATTCTGACGATTAATTAATTCTAGGTTGAGTTGATGAATAACCGCCGATCGTGTCTTGCTCCGACGAACAGATGTATATTAGCGAGGCAAATTGGCGTAGGTAATACGACTTTTGTTTTAAGAAGAAAGAAGGAGAAGTACGAGACAATTAATTGTGGGCGGCAAAAAGCGCGAAAAATAGTTTGATAGCGGCACGTTCCGGTCGAACGGACAAAGGGAACGTGCGCGATGCGTCGTTAAGGCATTTTTCGTACATCGCCGTTTCCATTATACGGTCGTAATTTTCCGTGGAGCGCAATTAAAAGGGCTCGGCGAGGGGAGGCGCACGATAATAGTATGCGACCGTTGCGTCGATAAATATTGTTTATTTGCATTGGCCGCGAGACGCGGTGTAATTTTCTGCGGGAACGTTGAGGTAGGCACCTGAGCACGCCGTCCCCTCGATTATTCGCCGCAGCATTATTCCAGGCAGTCGTAATAAACGTCCAAGTTCCCCCTTTTTCTTTCTCTTCCTGTTTCTCTCTCTCTCTCCCTCTCTCTCTCTTTCTCTAAATAAATAAAATTATCTCTAAACAAAATAAATTTTTATTTATAAAATTTCCAAATAAAAAATTCTCTCTAATTAAAATTTCCTTTAAATGAAATCAATTTTTAAATAAAATTTCCTCTAAACAAAAAATAAATTTCTACATAAAATTTCCTCTAAAAAAATAAATTTTTAAGTAAAATTAATTATTGAATAAAAAATCTTTTCTAGATTTGAAATAAATTTCTACATGAAAAATTCTCTCTAAATAAAGTTCTCTCTAAATGAAATTAATTTCTGAATAATATTCTCTCTGAATAAATTTTTCTACTCGTCTATTAATCTATCTTTTTAGAAAGAGAGAGAGGGAAAAATCACGCGCCGCGGATGTACGTAACACATGCGCATCGCGCGCAGGAGAAGATCAATTTTGTTTTCACAGAACATTGTCTATTATACTTTTATAACGGGATGCCGCGTCACCGCCGCTAATGTCTTGTTCTACTGGCATTAATTACCGGGCCGCGCGCACGAGCCCGCTATATGGGTTTATTAAAATTGTAGCATCAGCTGATTAACGGGCCTTAATGAGACGTCATTGATTAAGTCCGCGCCGTCGTAAATTTCGCGCTTCGCTCCGAGCGCCCTAATTCAGCGAATTAGAAATTTATCGCGACGCGTTATTTTCGGTAATTATCCCGTCGCGGAATCATAGAGTTGAGATATCGCGCGTAAATCCGATCACATTATATCCCATGCGGGCTTCTGCGGCGTGACCGCTGCGCTGTGCGCGAAAAAATCGAGATGAAACGAAAAGAGATTAACATGGAAAAAAAAGTAGAGGGAATCGCGATGCGTAATAGCGAGTATCGGAGATACGCGCTCGAGATAACGCGGAATCGTTCAATCGGCGAATTTCAGTCGGCCTCGACGTCATCGCGGCATAGCGTCACGTCATCGCGAACGAGAAACTCCGACGCGACGGGAGTAAGGAGAGGAAGAAGCAGAAGGATAAGGAGAAGAGGCAAGAAATAAAGAGAGGAAGGAAAAAATGGCGTAACGGCCGCTCATAAACATCATTTCGCAACGACGTGACGGCGACGGGGCGGCGGCGGCGGCGTCGCCGTCGCCGCAATTTTCTCGCGGAAAAAGCGAGATGCGCAGCAACGAGCTGTCGTCGATTACCGGCGCCATAACGTACGGGCGTCAAAATGTCTGCACGCCGAGCGTACGCGCTCGAGTTTCCCGTGGAGTCGGGCCGATGGGCGAGATGCGATCCAGATGCGGGGATAGATAATGACGATCGCGCGGACCGGCGATGATGATGACGACGACGACGACGACGACGACGATGAAGCCGCGCGGGACGCGCGAGAGACGGCGAGACGATGACGACGACGATCACGAGAGGAGGAGACGCGATCGTCGGAGGCGCAGCTACGCGATGCGGTGATATACTCTCCTCTCGTGGCTTGCGTACTCTCGATGTCAGGAGCGTCGTACGACTTTCCGACACCGTTTTAATTGCCTCCTCTCTAACGGTAGCCACTCGCCATCGTACTCTGAATTCCCGGGCGCACGTTAGCCGCGGGACCGAGATGGACGACGTATAGGTCGGCGGGACGTGCTCGCGTCGAATGACGATGGCTCTCCCTTACTGTCCGTCAAGTCGGTCGAGCGGCGGGGAAGAACAGGGAGCAAAGCTCCGAAGAGCAGGCCAACGTAATAAAAATCGATATAAAAAAATTTTTACATCACTGATGTAAATTTAACGATCAATCCGGCATATTCGCCTCATCAATGCACGGAAAAAAAAAGATTTGGTTGAATTAACCAAACATCTGGTCGAGTATGAACGATCCAGAAATTCCGATTGAAGTAACCCGAATTCTGTTTAAGTTAACAAGATTTTTGGTAGACTAACCGAACATGTCTGGTTATTTAATCAGTCTACCAAAAATTTTGTTAACTTAAACAGAATTCGGGTTACTTCAATCGGAATTCTGTTTAAGTTAACAAAATTTTTGGTAGACTGATTAAATAACCAGACATGTTCGGTTAGTCTACCAAAAATCTTGTTAACTTAAACAGAATTCGGGTTACTTCAATCGGAATTTCTGGATCGTTCATATTCGATCAGATATTTGGTTAATTCAACCAAATCTTTTTTCCGTGTGCGATAAAGAGTTAATGATGAAAAGAAATTGTCAAGTTTCGCGCCTCGACGGTCCCACGTCGTGATGATCATGGGAGGATGGTCTATTTGGGTCCTCATTCGCGCGGTTTCGGATCTCTCGCGGTCGGCCAGCTGGCGGAAAAATAACGGGTTCGCCGTGCTAAAGCGAAGGCGTCGCTTCACCGAGGGGGCATACTGACCCAGCAGACCGATGCATTTCGCGCCGGCTGCTCCGCGACTCGAACGAAAAGCAGCTGCTTTTCGTGTTCATGCGACGTTATTGAAATCCGTCGTTCCTCTCTCTCTCTCTCTCTCTCTCTCTCTCTCTCTCTCTCTCTCTCTCCTCTTCTCCTCTCCGTCCCATTGCTCCCGTGAGCGTCTCTCACGAGAGACGAGCTCCGCGGCTATCCTCGATCGCGGAACGTCGTAATAATGTAATCGCGAGCCAAATTGCAGCGATAATCGATCGCCGGCCGTGCAGGGGATTTCTGTTGATTCTAGATCGATGTAATCGGTACCCCTTCGCAACGCAACGTGTATTTCCGCTGGATTAGCGTCCTGATCGCGAGCCGGCTCGTTAAAGGCGCTCGTGAAACAGGAAATTTCTATTAGCCCGGGAGATTGTTAATGCCCGGCCCGCGAGCGGCAATTTCCTCGGTGCGCTTGATTTATATTTAGTTCGCTTTATTATAAAGTGCACGCGGGCGAATCGCCGAGAACATGCAGCGCTCCATGGCGAGAGAGAGAGAGAGAGAGAGAGAGAGAGCGGCTCCCCTCGTGCTCCCGATATTATGTCATTAGGTCGGTGCGCAACGTGACGAGATAATCGCATTCGGCGGGAGGAGCGTGCGCGCGCGAGAAAGTAAAGCGAGAAAGGCTCGTTTTGTTTTGCACTCACGTTGCACCCTCGTGGTGTTGGGCCGGTATCTGCGGTGCTCACGGTCCCAGGTCTCCGGGTGCCTCCTCCAGTCCTCGTCGCCGGCTACTCCCGTGCCGCCGCCCGTGGCGAGCCCTTGCAAACCCTGCAGAGTCTGGAGAGCCTGGAGATTCGGGCTCAAGGGCCGGTTCTTCAACGACGGCACCGGCACGTAAGCGCCGCCGTCGCCGACATACACGACCTTTCCAGGCAAAAAGTGAGAGTGCTCATTAAAGTAATAATGACGTGATGACAAATTTGTCGGTATAACTCAAGACAGAACGATATATATATATATATATAACACGGATACACTGAGCAAAAAAATGTTTGGCATTTGTAACTGTAATTATACAAAGAAGCAATTACTATAAATTGTGGTGAGGTAAACAATTTTTTCAGTCAATTTTTCTATAATATCAATAATAATAATCTCAAGAGGCATGTGTGTTATTCACTACTATTTTACTGCAGAAGTTAGATCAACCATTTTTTTTCATTTAGTGTACGTAAAAAGAGGAAGACAGCAATCATTAGACTATATACAAGCATTGAAACTGTTATTATTATTTTACGTGAATACAAAACATCGTCATGAATATTCATTGTTTATAATTTTTTGATCAATTTATCTGGTGAAATACGATCGGAAGTATTCGAGTAAATTTAATCGAATATCCTGATCGATTCCGATAAAAATTCATCGGTATTTTGATCGGAAATATTCGTTTGTTAATTTTTCATCGGATAATTTCTCTCAGTGCGTGTGTATGTATGTGTATGAGAAACTTCTATCGGAGATGCGGAAATCGTCACTGGAAAAAAAAACGATCCGTGGCGCTCTGCGCGAGATCGTTCGCGCTAATAACCGACCACCCGCGCCAAACGCCGCGCCGCGGCGGCGCGGCGCTATTAACGATATTCATATACTCCGAGAGCCCGGAAAATGAACACGAGGAATCCGCTAACGAGTCGCAGGTAGTGATTTGCGGGTTCAAAGCCGTTAGCCCGCGCTCGCGCGGGCTCCCGCATCGCGCCGCGATGGAAGCGGTATTCCCGCGAAATATTCTCGCGTACATCGCCTCGATCCGGCTATGCAAAACCATCCCGTCGAGCCGGGAGCCCTGACCTCTCCTACGTTAACGATCCGGTTTAACCCCCAACCTGTACGGATCGCTACCGCTCGAGCGGTGAGAAAGGGCGAGAAAAAGCGCCGGGGGTCGAGACCGCGACGAAGAGGTGTACGCGGAAGAGGGAGGGCGTCGGTGGCCGGTGGAGGCGGCGGCGGCGGCGGCGTTGAAGAATCTCCAGGGAGGCGGAAAGGGAGAGAAGCCGAACGAGGAAGTCTGCGAAAAACGGACAGCACGAGTAGCGCGTGACTAACGCTTTACGAGCTCATTCCTCGGGCAAGCGTGGGTACCCGAGGTCTCTCCCATTCGCGTACGGGTGCCACGTGCAAGAAGAGGAGCAAGAAGAGCGAACAAGATAGACAGGGTGGTGGCGGCGGGGGGTGGGCGAGGGGATTGTACGTCGAGCGGCTTGTCAGCGAGTACGACGCGAGCGCGGCAGGTAGGCACCTCTACTCGGGCGAATCGCTCGCAACGAAGAGGAGGAGGAAGAAGAAGAGGAGACGAGCACGTGGTTAACGCGCGGACACGCGGAAAAAAGCCGCCAACAGCCTCCATATGCCGTGACGAAGAAAGAAACCGCCGTTCCGGCCACCTCCTCCACCTTCTCTGCCATTTTTTCCCCTATAGTCTATGTATCCTTTTTCTTTCTCTCTCTCTCTTTCTTTTTCTCCGCGAACTTCTCACCCCTGAGTTCGCAACGTTTGACAAGCGAGCGAGCGAACGAGCTCTCGCCAGGGAAATTATTTCTCTTCGGATTCCACTTTTGAGGAATTTCAGGAACTCGAGTACGATGCTCTCTTGGGAGAAGGGCCGCGGAGACCGCGGAGACGCGATCTCGCGGGTGCACCACCGCGAGAGAAAGAGAAAGAGAAAGAGAGAAAGAAGGAGAGACGGGCGTTTATGGGCTAGTAGAGTAGTTAGTAGATCGTTCTTCTCTCGGCAAGAAGCCGACCGAGAGCTCGGTTGCCCGCTCAGAGGCTTGGGAAATGAGCGGTGGTCTTTGAATCCACCTCGGTATCTCGTAGGAATGCATTACGGAGGTAGAGCTGACGCGAACGATAAGTGCCGATTACCTCTTTCTCTCTCTCTCTCTCTCTCTTTCTCTCTCGGACTCTCTGCCGTGCTTAACCGCGGCTACGCGGCTACGGCATTAACTGTGCTACACTGTAGGAGATGTAATAACGCGAAATGCCCGTTCATGTTGATTTCGCGCTCGCGCCGCGGTGGGATTCGTGTTCTCATCGGGGAGAGATCCTAAACACGAAAGCGTTTCGCGCTCTCTTCAAGGGCCGGCCGGTCTCCACCTCCGCCACCTTGTCAGCCACCTCCATCTTCCTCATCTTCCGGGAACTCCAGACCGCGGGAGCGGTCTCGCTTTAGTGAATCCGCTTTTAATTGATTGCCCGGGGAATTCCATCATTTTCCAAAAGCACTTTCCGAAAGTGCGAGCGCCGCCGCTGCGAAAAGAGAACAGCGCTTTCCGCGGCCAAATGAAGATCATGTGAACCTAGTTTCATCATTTTGCAATTACGCTTTTACAATTATGTCGCCAACGCGGAATTTCCGGTTGATTGATCAGGAGCCTTAATAGGAACCTATTAGTTCTCACAGCATATCGCGAAGTGAAGTTTTCTCTCGCAAAGAAATCCGCGCATTCAAGCTCCGCATGTGCATGGTACGAGCGTGTAGCGTGAGTTTTTGCCCGTTTCATTGCACGTCCCGTAACAATAATACGCGCAAAAATGGCTCCGTTTTGCCAAGCGTCTGACCTAAAATCCGCGACATAATTAGCGCGCAATATGCATGCGCGTCGCTCAGCGCCGATACGACTCGACGTTGGATCTTGTATATAGTTCGTGAATCACGTAGGAAAAAGGTTTTCCTTAATGATCGCTAATATCCGCAATATCGAGCTCGCCTTCTCTCGCGAAAAGGAAGTCGACGACGACACGACGAAGAAGATGTAATAGAAGTACTAAGTAACCGCTTTCGCGTCTTCTTGCGCGCTGTAAGACGATGACGACGACGACGACCGCGACGCCGTCGACAGGCGTCGGGTGCGACCGGCTTTCTTTTCCAGGATGAATGTTTATCTCTTGCGAGGGCCGTTCTCCTCGCAGCCTCTCGATCGAGATGAGCGCATTCATCCCGTGATTAACGGTCGCATGGTTACAGTGTCGAAAGTCATCAGAGAAGTAACATAGCTCGGACGGCTCAGATGAATGCCCTCGGTATCTCATCTCGAAGAGAGCTGCGTCGGGATTAAGTTGATTGCTGAAGTTCTCGAGGCATTACTAGAATGACGATCTCAGGAACGTGGGAGCGACATAAGAGACGCCAAGTCAGATAGGAGAAGTATCTCGGTCGCTCGCTAAATGACGTCCTCGTAGTTCGCGAAGAGGCTGCGATCACCGGCTCCGAGGAGATTATCTCTCATGTTGACCCTTTGCGCTCTGTGCATTTTTCGCGCGACGCTGAAGCACAGTTTTTGCGCATAAGTACCGTTAAATTGAGCGAAGAGAATCCACTTCTCTCAACAATTTTATATATAACAATGTTATACGTAACTTTTAACGAAATTTAGCGCGTAATTCTCGATAAAATGCAGTACATAGAAAGAATATTATAGTTTCTTTTTTTTTTCACATAAACTCTCTTCAATTTTACTGTGCTTCTAGTAGTGCAGGAATAGACCGTCGATAAGGTCTTATAATTTGTTGAGGAATGTAATAAATTTCGGAAACTTGACAAATTTGATCAATAATACATTTGCCAAAATATAAATAGCACGTATGTGTGAAAAAGAAGAAATATCTAAAAAATAAAAAGATATTTATTCGGTGGGTACTAATAACATAATCTGAATTCACTAAATTCTTTTATTTGAATAGAATAAGCAATCGTTTTCATGAAAAGTTAGTTTTAAGAACGTGTATTTGAAAAATATTTGTTTGAAAAATATTTTATGTCAGTGTAAGTAAATATGTTATTGGTATCTGTCGCGAATAAACATTTCTTATTTCTTAGATATTTTTCCCCTCAATGCACATATGGGATAGAAGACTAGTCAGTCATTGTAGAAAGTTGATCTGTTCTTCGATCACAAAATTTCAGAGTGATTTTAACTGTAACATTCTTTTTGTGCACGCAATTTTGAATGGAATTTACACGGAAGTTTAGTTGAATTGAGCAAATTTCTTGTGAAATAAGAATAAACCAAAAATTTCGTTTGAAGTTACCAGAATTCTGTTCGAGTGGACAAAAATCTGGTTTAGTCACACTTCACCGTAAATTCGATTGTTTTTTCCACCGTGATGTTTTGCACAAAGTTCAGTGTTGTGTAGGCAGGCTGCCGAAATTGCCGGAGCGTGCCGCCCAGATTGGCATTTGGAGCTGAAAAGCGGTCAGTGGCGGAATGTAAATCGGGACGCGACTGGTAATGCGAGATATAATCGCTCGGGACGGACGATTCATTGGGCGCGCGTGAAATCATCAGTCACCTTCGTCGGCCAATGATTCGTATCGAGATGGCTTCCGCCTGGTTGCCTGCACCGGATGATTTCGCGTCAACGCAACGCCCTGCGGCGCGCAGCGTCGATATTATCGGTCTCCTTTGCCTTCTTAATCGAAACGAACGGAAACGCCGGGCAGAAGGAGGCGATGATATTGATCTCGTTTCCCGGTTTCACGTGCGAATCCCGCTCGGCTCGCTCTCACAAGGCAAACAACAGACTCCGCTCCTGGAGCTGCGGGATTTGTATGTAATGGGATCTTTCGGGGCGGACGCACGCAAGAGGCAATCTATCCGCTCGCAATTTGCGATGTAACGAAGGTCGCGCGGCGGAGGCCGCGCTCGGGCGCACGCGCACGATAGCCTTTCTCTCCTCCCCCTGTTCCGGGCAGGGAAACTGGTTCTTCCGCGATCGAAATCGATTCCTCTCGAAACTAGTTTAAGAGCCGATCCGCGGCCGGATCGCCGATAAATCGGCGATTAATCAAAGAAATAGCCTCTCTCTCCGTTCCACTTCCTGACCGCGCTGATGCAACACCGCGCTGGACCTGCGCCGCCCTTGCGTTCAGAAGGGGCCAACGGAATTTCCTACGTGCCGGGGGAAGAAGGTGGATGGATAGATTGTTGCGTGGCGGCAGCGAACGTGCTCGGGTAAATTGATTTCCGCCGCGAACGAATAATCCCCCCTTCGTCAGGTGGTCGCAGACCACCTGGGTATCACATTGTAACCGAGACGAGCGGATTCGCGTCGCGATGAGGTAAGCAGAGAAGAGACTCGCTCGGCCGCGCGCTACATAGATCTTCGGCCGGCGATTTTTCCGCTCGATCGAGGACGCGCGGCGATCCCGAGGCGTCGTCTTCGCCGCGGTTAACTGTCGACGTTCCGCCTCCTTCTTTTCCCTCCCTTTTCTTCCTTTTTATCCTCGTGAATATCGTAGCGGATGCAGAACACCTGCATCTAGGCTCTCCTCGGCCTTGCGCGCCTCACCGCCTCGCCGCCGCCGCCACGGCCACCGTCGCCGTGAGCATTCGCTAACGAGGAATCACGCAAAACTGAACAGATGGGCGAGTATCATTCCTGCGCCTCCTTTTTTCCCCGCTCTCCCCTCGTTAGCTCCTTTTTTTCCGTCTACTTTCGAGTAAACCGTTCGCCAATTAACGTCCACATAACTGGACGGTCGCGATCGCAGCTCCTCCGAGGAAGAGAGCGCGCGCGTCTTTCCCTTTACTCTTTCACTTTCCTCTTTACCGTACATGAGCGTGATTTTTACTCGGTGAAAGTCCCAGGGGAATCCATGCCGAGGATCCGACCGTCCATTTCGACAAAGTACGTATCTTTTTGGGCCTTTTTTTTTCCCGAATGGCGTATCTCACTTTGATACTTGTATATCTTCAACCTACTTACGAATAGCTACAACTTTATCTAAAAATAATTTCAGATTTCGGACGCCATAAAATGAGACTGCAAGCTTGTAAAAGCTTGACCGTTCTCTTTGTGGTTTGTGGTGTACACATGTATTTCGCGAAAATAAATTTTATTTCGCAGGAATGAACCTTATTTCTGGCGGAGAAATCGAGACTAAATATAATACTATACTATACTAGATACTGATAATATTAAGTCGATTAAATATAAGAACGGGCTATAGTACCGCCTCGGTTGTGGGCAGAGGTGCGCGTTCAGTGCATTCAATCGATTTCGCCATTAAAGAACTCAGAGCTCGCGCGGGATCGATCTCTGAAATTGGTCTAGCCTCGATTCCGATACTTTGCGAGCGCGAGAGATACGCGAGACCGCGCTCGCGCGGAATTTGCGTTGATCAATATTAACTCAGCGCGAACGGAAGGCAACGTGCCGCCATAAGGATAACGGCACGAAGAAATAACCGATCGGCGAGAATCGACGAAACTTCTTGTGCAACGTCTACCGTGAATTTCAATAAGTAAACGCGCAATGCGAAACAAATTGGCGATGCGTGACTTACAGCATCGTGGTCGCTGGCCTCGTGAGTCAACGCTTCTCTGGTTTCGTTATGAAGGGATTCATCCTCGTCGGGGCCTGATCCACTGCCCGCCCAATAATCCTCGGTGGTATCGTCGATAACAGAATCCTCAGAGTTGCCGTCCACTTCCGCGTTCTCGTGATTGGCGGTCGCCTACAAAATCGTCCGCGGATAGTTCCTCGTCCTTGGGGAAATCGCGAAAGGGGACGCGAGTCTGAGATACTCACCTGACACCTCAGCGTCACCACCGTCAGCATCCAAACGGAGATATACCTGCAACAGCACGAGAGGGAGTCGCAATTTTAGTTACATTCAAGGCCGCAATTGTTTCGTGAACATTTGTAACTGTCACTTAACAATAGGATCAATCTCTCTGCTGATTTTCTAGGGGTCTCTAATCGGTATTAGAGCTATTTTTATCAAAGACAGATATAACTGTTAATTACGGGTGTGGGAAAGAAAAAGGAAATTAGACATCAATCGAGTGATTTTATTCGATAAAAAATGTTTTATAAAAGGATGCAACAAAGAACCAATTTATGTATATGAGCGATTATTTAGGTAGACAGGTTAATTGGGCAGCAACTTTATACTAATCGATTTAAAAAAGTTGCGTCCCTATCATTGGATTGATTCGAATGGTATTTACCACATAGAATGGCGAAAAGAATTATCAGAATTTACTGTGTGAGAACAAGATATGCCATGTAAACTCTTTCCCTCTTTGAGACATAAGTCTTAACTTTAGTCCATCTGCAATCAGCACACCCCAAAACTGACATCATTATATGATGTCAATTTAATAATTAACTCAGCACGGTACATTTGCCTCATTAATGTAATTAACCCTTATTGTGCACACTTTAGTAGAATCACATAATAGGCACACTGGGGTCTTTCGCGACCCCAGCTACAAAAATGTTTGCTGCAATAAAATTATTCGCTTTTTTTATTTGAAAAAATTCCAGGATATATTTCAAACATCTTTTTATATGACGGAATAATTTTTCTAAACGAAATTTGATTTTAAATGAAGAAAAAAAATTGGAAAGCTCAAAAAACGCGAAAAATGATTTGATTTGCTCCAAAAATCATAATTGACATAACTTTATATTTTAAGGTGAAATTTTAAAAAACTACTCTCAAGACATCTTTTTAAGAAATAAATTAGTATAATAACATTATTTTCAAAAAAGTATTTATTTTGAATATCGAAATTAGGATTTTTATGAAAAAAAGCAGTTTTTCCAAAATATATAGATTTATTTTATTTTATTTTTTATTTTATTTTATAGATTTACTTTATTTTATTTTTTCTGGGGACTATTTGACCCCACAGTGTACAATAAGGGTTAAAAGATTACCAAGTTTCCACCATCATCACCATCATCATCGTCGATTGCTTCACGTGATAATGAGGAAAGCCTATGTGGGTGGTGGCGAAATGTCAGAATTCTGAAAAACCGCGTCGCGAAACAGAGCGTGCGCCTCCACTTTTCCGCGTTTTCATCAAGACGCGTTCCCGATTATCTCGACGACAACGTCACTCGAGGGAAGAGACTCGCGAGTTCAAGCCCCGGGAGTCGCGATGGACTGAAGGAGCAAGGACGATCACGGCAGGTCGTTACGCGACGTAGGGAAACGCGTCGTTATGACGATAACGGAAGTCCCCGGCGGCAGCGAGAACGAGCTCGGGGGAAAAAGACCGCGACCGGGAAGGAAAACGGACAACTACTCTCTCGCGAGAGCTCCGGCGATATATCGCGCCCTCCCTCTCCCCCTCTCGGGAACTAGCTCGCTCTATGGGAACCCGAACTGACACGCATTACACACACAGCACGGCCGATGTAATAAGAGCATCGTGCGGATGCTGGGCAGCCGAGGGCCAGCCGAGGGCCCGGCCGCGGTCTTCGCGATTCCACATTCTCTTCCTCCTTCGCGAATCACGCCGCGACCTAGGATGTGACTCATCTCTCTCTCTCTCTCTCTCTCTCTCTCTCTCTCTCTCTCTCTCTCTCTGGCTCTGTCCAGCTCCTTCTCACGTTGCCACCTCCGATGCACCCTCGCCGTATCCTCCACGTGAGGCCTCGAATGAGTTCCTTGCCTCCGCGATTTACTCGCCGTTTATAGACCTTTTCGGTGTAATCGCCCGGCCTCGCGTTACTCGCGACCCCGTGCAGCCGGTGGAGAGCAGCCGCCCGTATCAATCCTCATCTGCCGCGGATCTTCTAATTACTCGGGCTTCGTACGCGAGTTCTCTTGTTGCTCTCGGCTTCGGACTGTCCGTCTCGCTCGTTGTCGTCCTTCCGAAGTCGGACGTTCACAGCTGGTCGGCTGGCTGGTGCGTGTAATTCGCACCGTCGCACACGCGCATCGTTCGGCGATGCCGAACGACGCATCGAGCGGCTTGTTCGATTAGATTTCATACGGTTGTTGCGATTCTCTCGCCGCGCTTCCATTTCGTTACTGTTAGACAAGCGTTGTCGGGGAAACGCAAGACCCGAGTCGCGAGGCAGGTCTCGTCTCTAACGCATGGGCTCCGCTAATCTGCCCGCCGTTCGATTCCGCCGTCCGATCGCGCTCTCATCTCGGGACGTTCGCATCTCTTGGCGATTAAGAGGTCCGTTAAGAATCGCGGGACGCGCCTTGCTCGTGCATGCCGGGCGTCGAGCAAGCTTGTCATTATTCGTCATTCGCTGAATGCGCCCTGACGCCCTGCGTTGGGAGGAAAAGTTTTGCCAATTTAACGAAATACCAGCCACCCGCGACAGATGGTCCGTCGATGCGAAACAGCGAATGATTCCGTAGCGGCAACAAAATACTTGTTACTCTCAATTTGTTGCCCTAAGTGACACTTCTGTAATAAAGACACGACTAATCTGATCTAAATAGACGAGAACCAATACGTTTGTTCGCGTTGCCTGCACTCTTGACACTCTTGCATCTAATGCCCGTTGCACACCGGACACGAATGAGCGAAATGTAAGAGCTCTCTTCTCTCTGAAAAGATGTACAACGGACACTAGATGTACAACGGACACTAGACACAAGAGTGTCAAAAGTGCGAGCAACGCGAACAAATTTAATGTACGTTTGTTAAAATGAGCGATGAAAAGTGATTTGCCACGGTAAATTTTGGTGATCTGTTTCACTAACGATCATCAAATAGCACACACGCTTTTGTTCTGACAAAATCTTTCTGAAGGGACTTTTTCACAAGTAAACCTACCTAAAAGGTACACTCCGATTTCTTTTTAATTTGTCACAAATGTAAAAGTACAAAAAATATTTAAGTCATATTTTTTCATTTTGAGTTGCACGGCCAGTGAAATTTATAGCTTTTTAATGTTTTCACTCCTATCATCAACAAGTATAACAAAAATGCATAAGAAATAAAATTGAATATAAGATATAGTTGAATAATTTTAACAAAATCGGCATAGACGAGACACGAATCATTCTAAATTTCTTTAGCCGAGATTCCAACCGAAATATTTTAAATCTGTGCTAAATTAATAAAAAATGTTCGAATCTCGGCCAAACTGAGAAATTATTTGTATAAATAATTTTTCTTCAACTTTTTACATGTTTTGTTTAATTATCATTTTATTATTTATACAAATAATTTTACATATTTGACGTCATATTCATAATCAGCAAACCAAAAACGCCTATATTCAATTTTATTTCTTATGCACTTTTGTTGGACTTGTAGGAATGAGAATATTAAAAAGCTATAAACTGCCCGTGAAACTCAAAGTGGGCCAAAATGAAAAAAATATGATCTAAATATTTTTTGTACTTCGACATTTCTGCTAAATTAAAAAGAAAGAAATCGGAGTGTAACTTTCGGGTAGGTTTACTTGTCAGCAAAAAATATGATCTAAATATTTTTTGTACTTCTACATTTCTGCTAAATTAGAAAGAAATCGGAGTGTAACTTTCGAGTAGGTTTACTTGTCAGTGTACCTACTACATACACACTGCGACACGCTGCTGTCTGCCATTCTCGAGACAGCAGAAATTATCCGTTTCTCATCGTGGTCACATATCGCGGCCAGCAATAATTATCGTGGAGGGGGTTGAGCGACGTTATCAGTGGCGGCTTAATCGCCCGCTCCCTCGCGATTTTCGCGGGGTCGCGGGAATCGGCTGACCGTAGTTTTCCGAGACGTTATCGTTGGGAGTTTTAAGGCGCATATTACTCGCGTTATACGAGCCGACCGGCCGGTCGGCCGGACAGTCGCCGTTTCATCTCGACGGTTAAGCGGTCGTTGGGAAAAAAGTGAAATGCTTCCCGCATGCTGGATAGTGGAGTCGTCCGGGGAAATTGCCTGCATCAGGTCAAAGCGCGCTGTGCACGGCGGATTAAATAGCACGGTGAATCACGACGATGCGGACGGAACTTGAATCGCTCGTCAGTGACGTCTGCGGTCAGTGAGGCAACAATGTTGCTGAAGCAGTTGGAGTTTGTTGCTTGGCCTCGGCTAGTCATTAGTCATTAAACGTGCAGCATTAGGTTCGACAGAATTTGGCACAGGCACGAGACGCGATTGGCGCTTGCTGAACTTTCGCAACAGACACGTGAGCGTTCCTGACGGAGACTTCGCAACAGTCGTATTAAATTAAGCGCACCTAAAGGATGTCATCTCATCTTTGGCAAAATCCTCTCAATATAATTGGCATAATCCTCTCAAAAGGATTCTGAAACCAAAAAGAAAGTGTCCCAACATTCTAGAAGAAAAACTTCAGTTGCTATATAGAGAGAATATTGTAGTAAAAATTACAATACAATTCTAGTAGTCCGGGAATAGACTAACATTATTACGAAAATTATAATAAACGTAGTAAAAATGATCATAAACATGACATGTTTTTACTACATTTATGGTAAATTTTACTATGTTTACGATCACTTTTACTATGTCTTATTATAATTTTCATCATAATAGTCTCCTCATGTAGATGCTATCTCCTGTAATTCCATATCTTAACCCGAAAGAGTATTCCTCTTCTAATGGAGAGGAATAATTTTGTTCAGGATATATTTTCCTTTTACTATTAAAAGAATTCTTTGAGCTATATCAAGCTAAGAAATAAGAATAAGTAAAAAAACTATAACATATGAGAAAATTATGGCGAATATAACAGAGACAGATAACTGTAGCAAATCATAGTCAGCCGGTGAGATTGATCATCGGTGAACTTGAAGGATCGACCTTCTGTTTGGACTCACTATGTTCTCCGCGCAATGGTTTTCCCCGCGTGGTACA